AATGCACTGTACGCCCACACTAAGACAATCAAACAACAAACTTTGGTTTGAAGACAAGATTTTTCCATGAATAAGAAATATGAGATGCTTCCTGGCTAACCAAACCGCTTCCCCGACTTGGGAACCACCCTGTCACCCAAATAAGCCAATATATCTCTGTAAGATTACAACTATGTTCATCCAGCGAGGAAGACTTCTCTCTGAAATCTAATATCCCCTCATATTAACTCTCATTAGTCCCAGCCACATTCTGGGAGAACCAACTTGTTGAAGAAGTGTTAAAATCTGAGGCTGTCTGTGAGATGACAGCAGATCTGCTATTCACAGCAGCAACACTCTGGGTTACAAAAAGCCACTATGGGTACCACAGCTCAAATTAACTATCATCTTCAGATGAGTTGAAAATGTTCTTCAACAAACCTTTGAGGCCATAAAGCTTGTTTTTCTTTAATGATCTTATAGTCAACTCCAGAAATTCACTTCTGGAGTGGAAAAAAAAAAAATTATAATATATATATTCAAATTCAGAAAGTCACTTCCGAAGCTAAAACCACAGTTGCACTTGCTGTGGATTTTAAAGAAAAATATTATCCTGGCTCTTTTGTTCCAGGAGCACGTCCTTTAAAGAGAAGACGACACGCAACAGGACCCACATACACAAGTTCAGATCAGGAGCTTGGGGAAGCTGGCTCTGAGGTGTGGGAAGCGACTGTCCACCCACTTCTACCCTTCACCCTCCTTTTTAACAAGCCACAGTTGGTTCTTCTTTCTGAGAAGACTGTTGCATAAGACATATTTAAAAAAAAAAAAAAACCACCAAAAAACACTGTCAAGAAAAATAATAACCAGAAAGAAGACTGTCTCTTGTTTGTTTCAACTGAAGAAAAATTGGAGCAACATTCATGACTGGGAGCAAGTTTTCTGAGAATTATTCTTCAAGAGATGGATCTATCAACTTCCAGCTGGACACAATGCCTTGGTCTTGCAAAAGGCAGAGTTTCATTTAAAATGGTCTTGTGTCTGGTGATGATGTTACAGATTACTTGCATGCTGTCTATATCCAAGTCAGAAGCTCCATTTTCACGGAGTACAGCACATGTTTTATTAAAGCACATATCACAATATGTTAAGCATTTCTGTTGATCAGGAGAAATCTGAAAAAACTGCAAAACTTTGGAATAGTTATGATCTGGCTATGGATTTCAGGTCTGGTTCCCAGTGAAAGCACACAGTCCCAACATGTCTGAGCTTAGAAAAGGCCTCAGTCCCTTTCCAGACTTTGAACAAATGTCCTCATTTGTAATTTTAACCAATGTTCACCTGCCGACCATTTGCACATGGAGACGTGAGCATGGTTTCAGCAAAACAAGAGATCAGGTTTGAGCTGCAGATCAACAGCTAGAAATGACATGTTATAGTTAAACTGGCTTATTATTGTGCGGCAGACAGATCTGCATTTTCAACTTCTCCAAACTCCTTGTGGGGACCATCCAATGGATTCTCTTGGAAGAGCTCTGTCAGATGTCTGGGCACTGTACATGTGCTCTGGTGTCACACATGGCCATCTGGCATCTACCAGTTAAAAACAAAATCAGCATGAGTTGTTTTAACTCTTTGGCCCTTTCTGAGTGCTTGCACAGACTTGGACACCGAGAGGAGCAGTGTTCTGGTTTTGGCTGGGACAGAGTTAATTCTCTTCTTAGTAGCTGACACAGTGCTGTGTTTTGGGTTTAGTATGAGAATAATGCTGATAACGCACTGATATTTTAGTTGTTGCTAAGTACTGCTCACACTAGTCAAGGACTTTTCAGCTTCCCATGCTCTGCCAGGTGCACAAGAAACTGGGAGGAGGCACAGCCAGGACAGCTGAGCCAAACTGACCAAAGGGCTATTCCATACCATATGATGTCACGCTCAGTATATAAACTGGGGGG